CCTTTAGCTCCTGACAAGTGGAATAAGGATAGTCCAGTATTTGCAACTAGGTTCTACCTTTCTCTTGTCTCCTGATTATCAGATATTAATTGAACCATATTACCAAATTACCAAACTTGCACAAACCCATTTATATATACAGATAAACATGATTAAAAATGAATAATGAAGTAGTTAAATGGTCTTACTTTGCAATACCTGATTCTGCAAATTCATTTTGTCCATAATGTCTCATAGTCCCAAAATAGATCATTTTAGATCATAGCAATACTTGGTCTTACTTTTTACTTTCTCAATAATGGTAGAAAAGCTGTTCCAATACATACTTCATGACTTATAGATTCTTCTTAACTCTGATTTGGGTAAAGTTGGTCATTATAGAAACTGCTGGTTTCAGAATGCTTAGGAAAAGATGAAAATGCTCCTTTTATTCTGTGAAGGTTACTGTTAATCTCAGACTGCTAGACATTTTAGTTTTAGTGTGATTGATCTGGATCAAAAATAGGCTGACTTAAGTCCAATCTGGTCTGCTATTTCCCACCATTGGGATCCCTGTGTCTCACTGATATGTTTTATGTTTTTCAGATTCATATTCAGGTTCCTTCAGTAGTTCTTTTTTAAGAGCCCTGATTAAGTTTAATAATATAAGTGCCTGGTTGAATTAAACCAAGTTACATCTACTGCTGTATTCTGTTCAAAAATCCCATTGACCAACAGTATGAGGTGCTCACCAGTTAGAAACATAGGAAGTACCTTATGTTGGCTGGGTTTCTACACAATAAGAAGCCCTTGAAATTCTCTGTGGAGTTTCCTGTCATGACAGTGGCTGCCATTTTGAATATTTAAACCATGGTGAAATCATATTACAAGTTGTTGCTAAATGCAAACCAAGCAAGCATAATTGGTTGGTTGATAAGCCACCCAGAACCCAGGAGATGTTTCAGGGTGGTGGATGACTTGCCAGCTGCTCCAGCAAAACATCCTTCATGGGTTCATACTTAAGGAAAATCTGTAGTGCATCTGTAGTGCAACTGAAGAACTCCTGTTGCACTGATTGAAGAACATAAATTTGTGAGTGCATATATACTTTACTGAATTCCAAGACAAAGAAACAGGCAACTGTCACCACTTCCTTTACCTTAGAAACTATGCATAGTAAAATCTCCCCAAAGTTGCCAGTGTCCTCAAAAGACATGTACTTCAGGCTGTTTTAAGTTATTGTACTTTGGAAAGTAATTTGGGTTGGGGAAATGGGAATCCCTCACTGATGTTCTTCTTAATTTACTTAGAGACTTAATATACTTCCCTTCAATAAGTATCTCTGGAATGGTTCATATTAAAACAAAGACCTAAAATTAGAAAGGAGAGAACAGTTATCAGAAGGAGCAGAATAAAATACCTCATCCGATTAAAATTTGTTCAGCACTGAAAAACTACTTATTTGTTCATGCCAAACAAGCCTCCCTTAGGAGGGAATTCCAGCCGAGCTAGCAGTGTCGCTCCTATCATACTCTGGTCCAAGTGGAGGTCTTGGATCAGAGATCCCCCTTGTGGCGGCTTTTTATAAATGGCCACAATTGGGCCTTTTACAAATGTGGATATCCCTCATATCTATAGCCATCTCCTCTTTATAATCAGTATTCAGAATATCCACTATTCATGTAAGCAATTCCCTCCAAAAATTAAAAAAAGGAAAGAAGGAAGGGAGACAGAGAGAAAGAAGTAGGGGGAGGAGAGAAAGAGACCTTTTTTATGGGGGGGGGGGGGCTCAGAATATGTGTGTCCATGGATCTTGGCCTGCCTTTAGTCTATTCTTTGCCTGCCTTTAGTATATGGTGCTCCAGCATAGCTTCACCCTAAAGTAATGCCACACTAAGACATTAAAACAATCTCCCTCAATGCAGTATGATGGAGCTTATTGTGGTACATTTATATTGCCACTGCTCTCTCTGTCTCTGGTCCCACTATGGATGGCGGCCATGGGCACTTTGAACCACTCAGACCTGGAACTGGTTGTGGCAGAGAATTCCATTAAAGGAAGATCTCTGAACATAAGAAGAGCCAAGCTGGATAAAGTCCATCTCATCTAACATTCTGTTCATATAGTGGCCAACCATGAAAAACCCACAAGCAGAACATTAATGCATAAGCACCTTTCTACCCTGTTCCCCAACAAGTGGTAAATATAGGCAACCTGCTACTAATACAGAGGCATTATATATGGCCATCAGGATTAGCAGCCACTCAAAATGAATTTTTCCAGCCTCCTTTTGAAGCATTTGAATGGATAGCCCTCAGTACATCTTGTGATAGTGAATTCTAGAGTTTAACTTTGTACCATGTGGAGAAGCTATTCCTTTTATCTTCCCTGAATCTCGCTCCAATCAGCTTCATAGGACAAACTTGGGTTCTAATGTTATTAGAGAGGGTAAAATATGTCATGTACATTTTCTAATAGATAATTTTGTGTGCTTCTGTCATGTCTACCTTTACTTGTCCCTTTTCTAAACTAACTAGTCCAGTGCCAAACTAAAGATTATCTTAGTGTACGACAAAGTGATATGCTGAGCTGTACTCACTGGCTTTGGGAAATCAACATCCCTGATGTGAAACAAGCCCATCTAGCCTAGTTGAAGGAAGCTTTAATTGAGGATGGTGTATGATCACACCCTGGGAGGTTTTCAGAATAACTTGCTGGGCAGACTAATAATAAAAATGCGGGCCGGACAGACACCCATATTAAACCTTTAGTCATAGCAAATGCTTACAAACAATTCTAAACAGTGTGTGCTTGCAGGTTGTTTCTAAAGTCTCTCTCTCTTTCCGTGTGTGTGTGTGTGTGTGTGTGTGTGTGCATGCGTGAAGGATGTATGTCAGAGAGGATTTATGTCAGCAAAGGAACAGGTTAGTTTGGTTTGTCAGCATTAAGGGACTAAGTGGAGTCTTATTTAGATTTTCTAGATTTCAGTGATGAGTGATAATATGAGAAGCTAAAAGTATTCTTTCTTATGCAGATTCATTTTTGCTGAGAGGTATTACATCTCTTGGACAAATGCCATGTTCCCTTGCTTCTCCTGACCTAGAGAGTTAAGAGAAAACCATCTATCAAAGCTGTATTCCATATTTCTTTTCATCCCTTTGATGGACAGTTGTGTCAACAGTGTTGCGGATAGAGATGAGCAAATCTGGTTCACATCAGCTTCAATATATATTCAGTCAAATGCCTACATCATCCATTGGGCACTATGTAATGACATCATTGCTTCTGGAATGGGACAAATTAAGAAAAGATATAGAACGAACTGGACATGACTCAGTGACTCTCAGTGAGACAAAATTCTGTTTCGATAATACGAAAATTTCAACAACTCTGTTTTGAACACTCACCTGTGTGTGAGGACTATATTAGGGCTTGGTATATAGAACTTCTAGAATGTTTGGAAACCAGAACTTCCATAACATTTAACTGCAGCCTTTTATGGACAGTTATTTTGACATGCTGCAAAGTTTGATCTTGAAATGGTGCAAAACAAAAACAAAGATGGCTTATTACTGATGGCAAGAGATGACGAACAGTAGGTTTTCTCTTCATCTCTTACAGCCATCATATATCAAGAGATAATGATGACTGTGAGAGTATTGTTGAACTTTCCGAAAAACACCAAAGCCAAGGGGTGAACTCCAGTATATAAACCAGGGACAGACGGTCTTCAGGCTTGCAAATAAAACTTTATACAAGTAAATTCTCTTTCACTAATTTGTCTGCAGTTTTACTTGCAGTGTTGAACTAATGGAGATTAGATCCATTGGTGATCTACTGCAAATTACTTGTTTCTCCCATTAGATCCCAATATGCCTTTGTCCTCATGTAAACCAATCTTTTGTAGTAGATTTTTGTAGGAAATTAGCTTTGATAACAGAGGAAGAGAAGGGATGAACCATGCTCCTAAATCATACAAACTTGTGGGATCTTTCTTTTTCTATGTATTCAGAGCTTCAGTGATTCCACTCTACACTGCTTGAAGCAATATGGATGCTTCTAGCAGAATCTGTCACATCATGTCTGCAAAAGCCTCAAGAGCTCTTTCTGTAGGTCCTTGTCTGTTTCGGTCAGGGTTTTTGCTCTGTGGGATGTTCTGTGGTGGCAATGCTAAAGCAAGGAACAAAGGAAAACAAGTCACCTGTGAAAGAGAAAACTGCCATTGCTGCTAAAATTACAGTTGCTCCATGGGCAGCTGTGCTTTTCCACAACTGGATGCAGCTTTTCCCATTGCTTTAACATCAGTCTAGCATTTGGTAACTTCCTCAGATTTTCCTTTTCATACTGGAGGTAGTGCAACCTGGAAGCATCTGCCTGTCTTGTTTTCTGCTTGATTGCTCCTCTGTTTAGACATCACCATGCTGTCCTACGTATGAACTACCAACTTCTGTTCCTGAAGAGTTTGATTCATTGTGGCACATTTTCTCACATAAAGCTAGTCATAAGCTCAGTCAAAAACATCTTAATAGACTTGAGAGATATTGTATTGTTAACCCCAAAATTGCTGTTGTTCCTGAAACAGATTTAGCGCTCAGATTGGGAGTTCACTCCATAGAGATAAATATCAGTTAAAAAATCTCAGTTTCTTATCTCTGTAGGATTTCTGTGCAGAATCCATACACACAAGTTACAAAATCAAAGATATCTTAAATCCAGATAGCAGATTATGTGCCTACCAAGAGGCAAACTGCAATTATTTGTAGTTGGTTTAATGTTCTCTAAACTATTTGGAACATGTTTTCTACAACTATCCATTTGCATACACATGTATCCTGGCAACACTGCATAAATTTTTTTCAAGGAAAATGTATCATCCAGTTACTTGGACTGTGATCATCTTTTTAGAGGGACAGAAGGGCAGCACAGACCTAGAATCAACCATCTCCTTGCCCTCTAGAGGGGCTTCCTTCCTTTCCTCATTTTGAAAATGCCATAAAAATGTTACACTTTTGTTTTGCAGGCCCTCCATCTGCCCCTGAGAACCTGATTTCCAATGTCAATGAGACATCAGTTAACTTGGAATGGAGCCCTCCTCAGAACAAAGGTGGCCGTGAGGATGTTTCCTACAATGTGGTCTGCAAGAGGTGTGGGGCTAGTGATCTGAATCGTTGCCGTTCCTGTGGCAGCGGTGTACACTTCAGCCCTCAGCAGAATGGTCTGAAAACCACCAGGGTTTCCATTACTGACCTTTTGGCACACACTAACTACACCTTTGAAATCTGGGCAGTGAATGGAGTATCCAAGCAAAATCCCAGCCCAGACCAGGCCGTCTCTGTTACTGTGACAACTAACCAAGCAGGTAAATGTTTATCTACTACTTTCCTCCCTTCCCCTTCCATCTTCTTTGAAATTATATTCGTTCTTTTTGAAATTAATTATTGCTGATACTGAATAGAGGACACTTGAACATTTGAGGCAATGCAGTATCTCAGACACTGAACATCACCATTGCTGTCATCTTCATCCTCATTAGTGTCACCACTGCTGTTAGTCGTCCTTCACCAAATTAAAGAATAATGATCAGGTGAGCAACATGGGAATCAGAGACCGGATCAGAGGTGTGTGGTCATGCTCCTGACAACAGGAATAAATGGGCCCTGATGTAATTTGATCCCCTACCATTGAACTGCCTGGAGATCCTCCAGTTGGTGCTTCAGCTGCTCCACAGCATTCCCCACTGTTATGTTCAGTCGCTGATTTTTGAGAGCAGTAGGGTTTCCCTTATCATGCTGCTTGCCCTCTCAGATGGGCAGCTGGAGGAAGGTGTATGTGGGACACGGCCACACCAAGCAAGGCACGGGTCAAGGAGTGTTTGCACAGCACCTCAGCCAGGGCGCTTTTGCTTGCTTTGTGCATTTCCCTACCCACTCACCCTTGGTGAGCAAGTATGGCAGACAAAGCCAGCAGACTGCTCCCACTCCAAATTGGGATGGCAAGCAGTGCATTAAGGGAATCTCCTAGGTTACCTCAGAACAGTCATTGCAGATCAGCGGAGAATTGCACCCATGGATATTGAAGATGGTGGTGTGTTCGCGCTTGGGCTGAAGGGTGGCACTTTAGGTATGGAGAGGTCTTGTAGGGCAGAAGGAGTGGCCCAGTATATCAGAACCAGAGTTGCATAGTGATTAGAATGCTGAATTGAGACTCAGGACTTCTGGATTCTGATCCCCACTTGGCCATGAAGCTTACTGGGTGGCGTTGGACAAGTCAGTGACTTTCAGCCTAGCTTTTCTCACAGGGTTTGTGTATGAATAAAATAGATAAAAGGAGGGTCAGGTATGCCAATTCAGTCCTTTCTTGAAGGATACAATTGTAATACCATTAAATAATTAGCCCATAAGCTTAGATGTTTTCTGTCTCTTCTTTAAAGAGATGCTGGTGAATCCCACTATTGTGTGCTTGTGGCATAGACTTAACTGTATGTACTAAGCCAGCTCAGAACTCTTTTCGAACTAGCAGTGCTTCCTTTTAAGTGCACCACTAAGTGCCTTAATCCTTGAGCATAAGTGTTGCTCAGCCAAGAGGTTGCTGCTTCTCAGCGCTATATGGAGGAGAAGTAAACTAGCCACCAGAGAGCAAGGAATATAGATAGAGCAGCCCTGGCACCTCCCCAAGATCTAGAATTACAATGCTGTTTGGCTCTTAATGTGAGTTCCGGAAACAATATCAAATAAGGGTTTGCTGATTCTTTTCAGGAGTCTGTATTAAGCAGGATTTGGTTACAAGAGTTGTGCAAAAGGAACTAATGCACTTTGAATAATTACGATTGAAATTGTTTGAAATTCATCTTAACTTGTAACAATCCATGCCATTAAATATATTCTACTTTTCTTTTGTTATTCAAAGTTGAGCTTGATTTGTAAGTTATTTATCTTTTCTTCTCCTCTGATGGACTTGGTTTATTTTTTCACTAGAGTTTGATTTGCTCTGTAGAATATTATAAATGTTGATCTGTAACATTATTAAAACTGGTGATGAAAATTAGATAGAATTAGATAGCCTGGAAAGCAGTAGAGCAATAGGAGGAAACCTTTTGCCCTCAAGATGTTTTGAACTAAAACTCCTATTTTCTCATGATTATGATTGCCTAGCTGATTGGGCTTGTAGTTTAGGTTCTTGGCCCTACAGGAGAGGCATGCTATGATTCCAAAATTTTCAGGCATGTTGTGAGCACAGGTGTGCTAAGAGATCAACATGTGCCATGACCAGGAGCTCTCATGATGTAGGCAGCAAGACATTGGTTGGATGTGTGTGTGTGGGGGGGGGGGGGGGGCTCTTCTCTTTGAGTTGTCCGTATATAGACAGGAAACCCTTTATGGCTGTGCTTTCAAAGGATCAGGTAGCAGATAATGATCTGGTAACGATCAGCTCACCGTAACATTGCACTGGGTGTTCATACATGACATATCTGCATGGTGCCCATGCGTGCTTGTTTGCCATAGATCATTGTGCTGTGCAAACGCAGCCAGTGAGCTTGCTTGTGAGCTAGAGAAACCTCAAATAACCACAGCTTGTTTTAGAATGTTTTGTTGGTTGTCTCACCCTCAAACAACCCCTCTAAGTGAGCTTGCATTACAATCCCAGAAAACTGTGCATGTTCCTGATCAAAACAGACTATACTGAGATGGATGAATAGTATGATGTATCTAAGGTGGTTTCCCCATGTTTTTCATTGTATATCCTGTTCCTGAAAAACCCCTGTGTGTGTGTGTGTTATGTGTGTGTGGGGGGGAGGGGGAGGAAGGAAGCAAGGGCAAAATAAATCCAAAAATAATGTTAGCAATGTTGCATTCCCCTGCCCCCCTCAAAAAAAGAAAACTTGTAAAGTTGAATTGGCTCTCATTCAGCTACTTCCATAAAATTGGCAGCCTACATTTATTTACCTAGTACTTAGTGTCTCTTTCACTGAAACCAATACAGTAGGGTACAGGTAGAGATAGTATATTTGTAACCAATTAGTGTGTTCTGTTTCCTAGACCATTTTTATCAACTCAGCTCATAGTATCCAACCTGCTTGCTGAGTATTTTAGTTCATTCACTTTTTAAAAGTCTGTAGGTATTCACATCCAAGTTTGAGACAATGTAAGTGCAGTGTTACAAAATAAGTATTAACACTTTCATTCATGAATTAAATAAATCAGCACATTGTTATTAATATAATTTGTGGCTCTCGGCTTATACATAGTATCAAAATAAGGCTTTAGGCAGATACAATATTCCTTTAAAAACGAACACTTTTTTTGGATATTTATGTTAATGTTAGGGTAACTTACTAACAGTTCAGCTTCAAGTGATCTTACTAAGAAACATTATGGTAATATGTGAATATTATGATAGGGAATTTACATGAAGAGGAATGAGGATATCAGTTGAAAATGAAAATATCCCTGTTAAAACAGAAATGTATTGCAACTTTGCTACAATTAGACAATAATCTCTTAGAATCCTAGTTATATCACCTGAAATAAACTTCCCTATACCTAAAAAGTCAATAAATTTTGTGTGAGTGATCTAGTGAAAGTTAAGCACTTTTTAGCCCTCTGGTATCAGTGGGAGGCTTAAGCATGTGTTTTTTTAATAAAATGGATGGAACTTTAAAGTTCTTATCTTTGCTGGATTGAGCCCAATATTTTTAAAGCAATCAAGTCAGGCTAATAATAGAAAGTAGAAAGAGTCAGTCAATTACCAAACTATATCATGAGGCTTCTTTCATGAGAAACCAAGTATCTTGATGTAAATCACCAGTTGTTAGGATATTTCATCCTTTCCTTGTCCTTCCCCAATATGATGAAGCTGTTCAAAATGCATTTTTTCATAAAGAGCCTTTGCTCATGATAAAGGATCTTTGCTTTCTTGAAATAGCAGTGTGTGTATGTTTGCATCATGAGCACACATGTATCTTTCTGAAGCGTAGACCTGATTAGTGTTGGCAGTGAGAAAGATGGCTGCTTCCCCCCCCCCCCACATTCTCAAGGGCAGCTGGCTTGTCTCCAGAAGAATCAGAAGGAGAAGGGGGAGCAGAGCAGGAAGAGGCGTGGGAATGGAGGCCATCCCAAGACTCTGAGAGGAGAGAAGAGAGATGCTTCTCTCAAGCCCAGACTCCCCAGGCTCTGGGAATAATCAAGATGTGCAGTTGGTGGGAGAGGACTTGGAACAGGGGAGTTTCTCAGACACAGGCAAGGTGGCCCATGACACATCAGCAGCAGAAGAGGGTGGTCTAATTAGAGGACTGGTATGAACTGAGGAGACATGCTCATTTTCAAAAAACCTGTCCTAAAGGGGTGGGTGCCAGATGTGCTCATAAGGAGAGTTCCTGGAGGTGAATACTAGATTGGATTCTACAAAGCACTCTTTGCATGCTCAGAGATTCTTTCTGGTGTTTTGTGCTTTTGGTCAATGAAGAATGTTTTGCAAGGAAAAGGTCTGGGGCTTTGAATGTGCGAAGGAGGAGTCCTGGCTCTTGACAAGTAGTTCAGTTCTCCAATGTGACAGCACCATTCGCTTTCAATATTCCAGTGTATATTATGTGTGATTACACAGTGAAATAAGGGTAGTATACTGAAATGAAAGGAGTTCACATGGGAATAGAGCTACATGGGGAAAAATACAGCGTACCCATGATTAAAAATGGAACTGTCTCCCTTCTTTCCATTTGGCTTCACTTTATGTACTGAAGATGAGCCTACTGTTTTCTGATTTGTGTGCTTCTGACATTTTTGTTTGCTTGCTTTTTAGTAGCTGTATAAGACTGCTTGGTAAATTTGCTAGCCTGCTAGGTTACCTTCATGTTCTCTTTAGTTGGCTGTTTACCGTGAAGTGGGTAGAGGAAATGTCATTCAGGCGGGGAAAGCCCCATAAATAAATAAGCAGCAATTCCCCTTACTGTTCATGGTTGTAGGTCTTTTAAAAACTGCTTTTCTAATCTGGGGCAGCACTTCAGTATGAAGATGCCCAACTCTGGGTGAGGCATACAGGCTTTCCTTTTCTTCTCTGTCAGTGTGACTGGCTGTCCATTTGCATGCCATAAATCTCCTTCATGCTGCCGAGACAGAAACCTGCCACAGACTACTCTCATATTTTTAGCCCTCCCTTCCAAATGATAGATACATACTCTGCCATTCCTTAAGCGCTCCTGCCGTCATGCTTGCTTCCAGTTTTCAGGACATGTCAGATATTCTTTATAATGCCAAACAAGTTTGAAATGAACACATTATTTTGCTAGCAAAATATTTGTTTGCGTTCCATTCCGGTAGCTTCAAGCTGAACAGATATGAGCACCAGCCATGATAAATATTCAAG